CCTCTGCGGCCAGATTATTAACAGATGCTCTATTCATTCTTTTTTAGAAACCTCGCACTTTTCTACTCCATTTTAAACATTGTAAAATTAAGCGCGGTCCACTGCTGCACACGTGCCACAATATCGATACAGGGCCATCTGTATCGATACTCGTATCGTCAAATCTCTGTGACGATACATCGTCGTATCGATATTTTGAACACAGCACTAGCGTGCACATGTAAATGCATGTATAACTGTGAGAGCATCTCTCTTCTAACTATGAACTCTCTAAAACAGGGGTCTTCAACTTTTTCATGTCAAAGACCCCTTTCTGGTTATAGAGATGCAGCAAGGACACCCTGTTATTACTGAAAATAAAAATGTATGTAAAAGTTTGATATAACGTGTAGAGTACCATATTAACAAATGTTTTTACTGTATTTAAGATGCTTTTGTTGTGGAGGCATTCAAATAGTCATTACTGATGCTCAGGGACATATATGTCTGTATATTTAATGTATTTTTGCAGGAGGGATGATAAAAATGATTAAAAAAAAGTAGACTAAACTTACTGTATTTTGTTTTTAACGGTGTTATTTTACAATTATTTACATAATATAATAGTATTTATTAATAATTTGAACAATCTTTTATTTTTATATTTTCAGTTAGTTTTAGTAAGTGTTATATGCTTTTGTCATTTTTATTAAATCTTCTTTAATATATCAATTTAGTTTATTTTTATTTCAATTTGAGCAATTTTAGCACTTCAACTTATATTATTTCAGTAACATTTCTAATTTTCATTTAATCTTTTCAAGTTTTAGTTATATAATTTTTCACTTAATATTTTTTTTAATAAAAAAAAAACAAAATTAAATGTCTTGTTTTTCCCACCAGATTTATTTCAATAAAAAAAAAAAACGACTTTTATTACTTAGCTAGCAATAAACATGCTTGTGCTTTTCCCCCCACACACATAAGTTTGAGATCAAACAATATTTCATGTTGATGCTGACATGATTTCACTACACATTGTGTTTTATGTATGCTATAAATATGGCATGTTTCATTCGGTTGTGTTTTCTTTATCAAACTCACTTTACATAGAAATCCAGATGCCGTGGAAACTCCAGCTTTCCGGACAGGATCTTCTGGTAGATGCCAAAGGGATTATCATCAAAAAATGGTGGATACCTAAGGAAAAAAAAAATTTAAATGAAAAAACGACCAATTAATTTGTCAGAATGACACTGAGCAGGAAAAGCCTTAAAGATATTTACTAGTGTCCTTTATTCGAATTCAATAATGTTCTGCTGAAATGCCAAAAACGAATGCACAGACTTTATCTTCGGCTTAGTCTTTAGTCCTGTCAGTTTAGTCCAATAAAAACCTCTGCAATTATTCATATATCAATATTCGACTCAATATACGAAATATGCAAATTTAATACTGACTCATAATAATTCAATAACAGATCATTTTTTTTAGATCATTCTTTTGTATTTAGCATCACTTTTAGGTGTACATTTCACAGATGCATCCCTGGTCTGCACCACTGGAGGAGGACTGCAAGGGATGAAGGTGCCATTTAGGCCTCAAATGACTACTGTTTACTGTGTCTCAGTATAATGCTTTTTGTCCATGTGATGCGTGTTCTCTAATGTCTGGTAGACTGATTCTCCAGCTCATACTGTGTAATCCATTACTCCTCCATTACAGAATTCCAGCCTCGACCAACATGCCATCAAACATCCTTGCACTCTCAATGAGCTTGTGTTTAATGCCTGCATCCAGCTGGCACTGAAAAGAGCCGCTGAATATGAGGGACAGATGAGGTGAGACATGCTAATGAGCCTGTTACTAGGCGACCACCTGAAGTCTCATGAGGGCACAGATCACTGACAGTGACGGAACTCAAGTGTCAACAGCAAAGATGAGATGACGAGACATACATCAGCAGCAAAATACAGAGTGAAAGACCCTGCAGTGATTGACACTGAACAAGCCATTACCGCAGAGTTGCACAACAGGGAGGACAAATGTGAGACGGCTTAAAAGAGTATTAACCAGAATGGCCGCAGTAACATATTATTTAAAGAAATAGTTCACCCAAAAATGAAAATTTGCTGGAAAAGTACTCACCCTCAGGCTATCCAAGATGGAGATGAGTTTGTTTCTTCACTGGAACAAATTTGGAGAGATTTAACATTACATCACTTGCTCACCAATGGATCCTCTGCAGTGAATGGGTGCCATCGGAATGAGAGTCCAAACAGCTGATAAAAACATCACAATAATCTACAAGTAATCCACACGACGCCAATCCATCAGTTGAAGTCTTGTGAAGCAAAAAGCTGTGTGTTTGTAATAAACAAATTCATCATTAGGGCATTTTAACTTTAAACCATTGCTTCTGGCCAAAATATGAGTACATATGCATAATCCATAATAACACTTACTACAGTGAAGAAGTCCATCCCTTTTTGTCCTCTCACATCAAAATCCACCAACATATTTGTTTATAACAGATTTGGACTGTTTTCACTTGTAAATGGTGCTTGATCTGTGCATATTTCTCACCTGATTCAGACAAGTTGACTTTTTGTCACTAGAGAAAGCAATATTATGGATAAAGGACTTTTAGAGTTACTAAAGTAATGTTTTTTTCTTACAAATAAGCAGCTTTTCACTTCACAAGATGTTAACTGATGGACTGTGGATTACTGTAATATTTTTATCAGTTGTTCGGACTATCATTCTGATGGCACCCATTCACCGCAGAGGATCAATTGGTGAACAGGTAATGTATTGTTTTTTTTTTTTTTCTCTCCAAATTATTTCTTCAAGACTGTTCCAATGACGAAACAAGTTCATCTATACCTTGGATGGCCTGAAGGGGAGTACATTTTCTGCAAATTTTCATTTTTGGGGAAATTTTCATTCACATGGGTTTGACCAACCATGTACCATTAATTATTGACAAATAAAAGCCATACACATATTTCGGCCATATACATTACTGTTATGATTGATTGATTTTTTTATGGTGCCGGAGAGTGTCTGGTCACCATAAACTTTCACTGAATGGAAAAGAACATAATAAACATCTACTTTTGTGTTTGACTGAATAAAGAAAGGTTTGGAATGAGATTAAGGCTCCAGCCTTCTGAAAGAAGTAAAATAAGGTGGTTCCACATAATGGATTGACCAGGACTGACAGTACTGACTGAGTGTGGAAACCATAAACAGAGAGAGAAGCCAGGAGAGCAGAACTTGCAGCTATTCCTTCTTGTGGGTGATGGAAAAGAGAGATGGAGAGAAGGAGAAAGTGAGCAGAAGAGACATATTAGTCTCTATAGTGTTACTGTAAGCAGTGACCGGTGACACGGTAAAAAAGGAGAACTATGAAACTGAAACTTTTACATAAGAGCACAGGTGTCGCTAAGATTACACTGAGAAAAATATTAAAAAAAAAGTGTGCTCTTGAACTCTTGAAGTAAATATTGTATTATAACTAAGACTGTAAACTGATTAAATTATGATATTTGCTAAGAAAGACATTATTCTGGCAGACAAGTTGGGTTTAAAATCAGTTTATCAGGGTAAAGAAATGTAAAGTCTTAGATTGCCCAAATCAATATCCAGATTTAAATCCGATTGAACATTAACTTCACCAGCTGAAGAGGAGACTAAAGGCAGAAACTCCCCAAAACAAGCAACAGTTGGTATTGGCTGCATTAAAGGCTGGGAAAAGCATTTCAAAGGATAAGACCAAGAGTCTGGTGATGTCTATGGGTTGCCGCAGACTCACTGTTCTGATTGCACGCAAGGGATCTACAACTAAATATTAGCTTTTAATCTTTTACATCTGCCTTAGGTTCAACTGTTCCAATACTTATGCTCACATCAAATAGTGGGATAAACTCTAAAAGTGCTGTCCTTTTTATTTGGTAAAACGTGTGTGTTGAAACAGCTAATAATAAAATGTGACATTCTGTAGTTTTGTCTCATATCCATCTTTTAATCATATTTGCAAATGTCTTGACTCCACAGCAAACAGAGCAATTTTGTCTTTACTGTTCCAATACTTATGGAGGGCACTGTATGTCCATTTGCCTGTCTCTTGAAAAAATAAGGGACCAGGTCATTTTCTCTCACTCACATGCAGGAGCCAACACTTCAAAAGAAGTCTGGGATGAATGAAGAGGGTGGGTCAATTTTTCCTCTACACAAGAGCCTGCTCTAGGGCAGATTTAGAGGTGGGAGAATGGAGCAGTTTGGACGGGATATACACTAAAGCATCCAAACTTATACCAGGAGAGAAGAAGTTTAGTTTCACACCGGCTTTGGAGTCCATGTGACAAAATTAACACATTTACTTTTGCAAGACAGATATTATGCCAAAAGAAATAAAAATATAATATATAATTTTATATAATTTGTACAAAATTTATCTACAAATTTTGCATGCTGTTCTACCACACATTTATGCCCACATGTGTTGGTAATGAGAATTTAATCTGGATGTAATCTTTTTGTAAACAAGTTATATTCCAAGAAATGCATCTGCCCCCTGAGATACTGTAAATATGAGCAGAATATCTGTGTGCATATTAAATATGCCAGTTTGTGCACACTAACTGTAGGCTGCGAGGATAAACATCTAGGCAAATAAGGATAAATATCAAGGCAGCACTGAAAGAGGCCATCTGCTTTGAGACATGCACATAGTGGTTTGGGCCTTTGGCAGAACTCAGTGTCTAATAGTCCACTGCTGCCCTCTAGTGGTGTATCTTTGACAATAGCTGATTTTTCCTGACCACAAGCCAGTACAAATACAGTCTGAGCCATACAGGATGAAATAGCAAGTGTTGTTTTTCATCATGTATTTTATTCATGACTGGTTTTGGTCAAGTAACCATTAGCTTAAGGGCAGTTAACTTATACATGGAAAATAGTTGTCACAAAATAGGATTTTTTTTCTTCTCACAAACACGTGAAAGTCACGCACATGTGATGAATTTTTAAAAGATGGAAATTCAATTACTGAGTTGTTTTGCTGTAAATCAGGGGTTTGACTTAACAAACCCAGTCACTCCCAACAATAAAAATATAGGGTGACACTTTATTTTAAGGTGTCCCTGTTAAATGTTACATGTGCTTACTATTATAATAACAATAAATGATGCATAATTGCATGCAAGTAACCCTAAACCAAACCCTAATAACTAACCCTAACTATATACATGTAGTTAATTAATATTACTCAGTACTTAAAGGGATAGTTCACCCAAAAATGAAAATTCTGTCATTAATTTCTCACCCTCATGTCGTTCCAAATCCGTAAGACCTTCGTTCATCTTCCGGACACCAACTGAGATATTTTTGATGGAATCTGAGAGCTCTCTGACCCTCCAGCAATGCTATTACCACGATAAACGCACAGAAACGTAACAAGGACATCGGTAAAATAGTCCATGTGACATCAGGGGTTCAACCGTAATTTTCCAAACCTACGAGAATACTTTTTGTGCGCAAAGAAAACAATAACAACATTATTTATTCAGCAGTTCTTCTCCCAGAGTTACAGTCTTCCGCCATTTTGGAGAGTACCCAGCGTAATGAGCATTGTTTAAATTCAGCATGCGCGCACGGTCTATTGAACATAAACAACGCTGATTACGTTCAGCGAAAGCATGCGCATGCCGAACGTAAACAATGCTCATTACGTTGATTACATTCTGGGGTACTCTCCAAAATGGCAGAAGACGGTAACTCGGGGAGAAGAATTGCTGAATAAATTATGTTATTATTGTTTTCTTTGCGCACAAAAAGTATTCTCGTAGCTTCGGAAAATTACGGTTGAACCCCTGATGTCACATGGACTGTTTTATCTATGTCCTTGCTATGTTTCTGTGCGTTGATCATGGTAATATCATTGCTGTCTATGGAGGGTCAGAGAGCTCTCAGATTCCATCAAAAATATCTTAATTTGTGTTCTGAAGATGAACGAAGGTTTTACGGATTTGGAACGACATGAGGGTGAGTAATCATTTTTGGGTGAACTAACCCTTTAAATGAAATATTATTACAGTTTAAATTAACATTAAAGGCAATTTATTTTACCCACTTAAGTAGGACTTAAGTCAAAGTCCCTTTATTCTATTGTCTTTGCTTAAGTACATCGTTGTATTACATGCATTTGTATTAATTATTAAAAGTAAAAATACTTTAATGCCAAGTATTCTCGTAGCTTCGGAAAATTACGGTTGAACCCCTGATGTCACATGGACTGTTTTACCTATGTCCTTGCTATGTTTCTGTGCGTTGATCGTGGTAATATCATTGCTGTCTATGGAGGGTCAGAGAGCTCTCAGATTCCATCAAAAATATCTTAATTTGTGTTCTGAAGATGAACGAAGGTTTTACGGATTTGGAACGACATGAGGGTGAGTAATCATTTTTGGGTGAACTAACCCTTTAAATGAATAATTACACTGTGACACGGACACCTTAAAATAAAGTGTAACCAAATATAGATATTATTGGTAAAACTTTGTAATAACATTATTCCAATATACAATGCTTATCAGGTCATTAGCTAATTTTCCTTTAAATCACTATTAATATATGTCATAAAATTTCATTCAGGTCTGCTTTATACATCTCTGTGGAGTCCCTGAAGTAAATTACAAACTACCAGGGCTACACAGATTCCTGGTTGAAATCCCTGGTGTAAAATGTTTAGGAGGTGATCATAGTGCCGTCTTACCCTGCAAGCATTTCAAAGATGAGAACACCCAAAGCCCACCAGTCCACGGCTTGCCCGTGACCTTTACTTTGGATCACTTCTGGAGCTAAATACTCAGGAGTACCACATAGAGTCCATGTCCTGAAAAGAAAGAGAGAATAAAATAGTGATGGACAGAAAGAGAGAGAAATCCCACAGGGTCCCAAATTCTTAGACCACTGGGATCAAAATCTGATTTATAACTGGAAATAAATGGAATGTTTTAAGATGATGAAAATAAATGATATAAACATAAATGACATAAATAAAGAACACACATGTAGGATTCTGTACTTTTTCTCAGCCAGTAAATTAATCTTTGAATTTTTGAAGCTTTCCAAATTAAGACTTAAAGTGATAGTTCACCCAAAAATGAAAATGGTCATCATTCACACACACTCATGTTGTTTCAAACCTGTATGTCTTTCGTTTATCTGCAGAACACAAATGAGAATATATTTTGAAAATTGTTGGAAGCCAAACCCAATTACCATACATAAATAAATAAATGGACATGAAATATTGATTTGTGTTGGCTATATATTTAACAAAGTAAAAATGGATATATAACCACAGTGTAACATAGCCCATCTACTACAGTGACTGTTTAGATAGCACACAGAGGGGTGTAATTACAGTACACCTTGTGACAGCTGGCTATCTGGACCGGATTGTATTGGCTGGTGTAAGGCAGAGACATATCCACTTCAAGCCAAGGAAACTATAAGCGTAACTGTATATTGAGCTAGAAGCTAGGGTGAAAGCCCACTACACTGTAGTAGAGGGTTTCTGATTACACAGAGTAGCTGCAGCTCCATGGGGTGAAATGACAAAACTGTGTTTGTTTGGGGCCATGGGTCTGGTCGATAAATTAGTCTGTTGACCTGTCCTTTAGCAAACCGCTGCCCTTTGCTTCTCTATCTGGACATGGTTTTGTAACATAATTATATGATTGTATCTGTTGATACCAGAATGTCAATAATGAAAGGAGAAGATATATGTAAATGAGACTTTTTTTTTTTTTTGGTTTGAGATGCTGATCTGATTTCCTGTCAATACCAGTATCTCAATATAAGGAAATGATGAGTAACATAAAAGCTATACTGTAGACTTCTCACAGAAACATTTTGCGGTTTTAGTAGATCTTTAGCTCGACCTTCTGATTGTTCTAGCTCCTGGGTCTTCAACCTTTTTTAGGACAAAGTACATTATATAAGTATGAGAGTATATCACTTTTTAACTGGGCCAATAATAACATACTAAAACAATATTGATTTTCTAAATTAATGCAAAGTCCAGAGTTATGAACTTGTCACTTGTACATTATATTTACATTTTAGTTCAAACATTTTTAATATGGGAGCAACAACATTGATTAATTTTATTTAATATTTTATTCAACATTAACATAATATGTGTTTTGTTTTTCAAGTTGTGTCTAAATCATCACAGAACCGAGGTACCTCAGGGTTCAGTGCTTGGCCCTCTTCTATTCTCAATATAACCTCACTGGGCCATATTACTGCTGATACTATCATAATACTGCCATGGTGATAGCAAACTTACACGTAAGGGGGTCTGGAATAGCTTGCGTGCATGTCTCTCACAGTATTTATATTCCTTCTTTTCTTGCTCTCTATTTCAGTCTCTTTCTGTGCTCAGCTGTCTGGTTTTAGTTCTTCTCTCTGTAATAGAGAGGATTAGTCTCCCTTGTGTTAACTGAAGCCTCTCAGTGTCAGCTCACAACAGCATTCCAATGAACTGTGAGAGAGGTTTGGTGTGATGTGATTTTCGATTGGCTCTGATGATTTATGTTTGCTCTAATTATATCAGACTGCATACTAATAGGAGCAGCGAAGAAACTGATCCGGTTATCAAGATCAGATCCTGTTATTAATATAAGCACAACTGATGACTCACTTAACAATATGTTTGTCTGCATGGCTGTATTTGCATGTCTGACTAGAAAAGGTAGGCCTGTCTATGTTGTATTTCACCGTTACTCTTTGCTGTAACGGCTGACTAGTTTGTCATTGCTGTAACAAGCGTTGTAAACATCTAAAAAGTCATAGTTTAATTTTCAAAAAGGACTTTCAGGACATCAACGTCCATCAAAGCTGTTGTGATGAAGGTGACTTTTCTCTGAATTCCTCTTTTTTCTTTTTGATTGGCCACTTGAAACTGTGCAGCTAACGTTTGACAAGTTCCCTCCTTCACCCCCAAACATGACCACAATAAGAGCCCTGCAATTCATCAGTAACTCTGACACAATAATAAGCCATCATCTTGAGCAGACATTCTGACAAGATGATAAGATGAAAAAATGCCCTAATGCCACATACAATAATAAAAAATAAAAAAAGGGACTGGATTTCCAGTCCTCATCCTGTCCTCATTTTAACAATACAGGTGCTTCAAATGACCATTGATCAAAGTAAACAGCAAATATCTCTGAACATAAAGCCAAATGCAAATATAGCCACCAGGTGGCATTGTTGCCACATGACAGTCTGTGCAGACGCTATCTACTCAGACTGGAAAAGCCAAAGCTGTTGCTTGCAGGGACAGTTGTCTTCTCCATTGGACTGGGGGCACTGCTTTCAGTTTCTATATGTGGGTCACTTGCACATCAGAGTCAGACCCCCGACGTTCTGGGGTCCTTCCTCATGCACAGAGAAACAGAAACACGACCCATGCTTACACATCAGAAAGGGTCAAGGCTTGCTCTGAGAAAGCGCTGCAATACTCTGCACTGCAGATGGATATACACACACATACAAACACACAATCTCTTGTTCTTTTATTGTATTTGATTGATACTATCGGGGGCACAACCAGAGGGATTTTCAATTTCAGCAAGGTTACTCTTAAATTGGTCCATGGTCCATTGGTTGCACTCATTCAGAATTAATAACGGTGGGTTGATGGATGCTCTAGGGGGCCAAACTAAGCCTTTTTTTTAAAGACACTCATATTAGGACAGCTTTAATAACCTGCAGAGAAGCAATCGCATGTCTTTTATAGGGGGAGTCACACAGTATGAGTGAATGAACGCATTCAGTTGGATATTCTGAAGGACGAAGAGTGACGGTGGTTCGTTACTGCATTATATATTCACTAACATCACAGTTAAAATTCTGAAAAACTCCATGAATTGTGGAACTGAATTTGATCCCCTACAGAATTTCAAAGCAGGTTTAACGATTTATATTTAATTTGACAATGAGAACACTAGGAATGTTAAAATGCCATGGAGTGAAGGTAAAAATTTGCAGCATGCCTAATCCAATCTTAAAATCAACTTTAATCTTCAAGGGTGTACACTTCAGATAACTGCTGCTCAGCTATCTCTCTCTCCCTGGTCTATGTACTTAAAAATAACTTCAAAAGATTTCACAAAATCAACAGATCTATCTAGGAGTGTATTAAATGAAAATGACTATATTTCAATGTAATACATCAGCTGAGAAGACATCAACAACAAACAGAAAAACCGTATGATATCTGTAGTTAAATTTCATCATATGTTGACTGTTTCAGGAACGAATGCACCAATGCCATTTTTAGAGACCAAATATGAGAACCTACTTAACTGTCTGCAGCTCTAATGCTCCGCTGTATTGGCTTTTGGTTTTGGATTATTTATTGAGTACATAAGCACAGAATTGTACCTAAATTAATACATGCAATTTAACAGATTTAGGCTAATAGATAATGAATGAATGAATAAAAAAATAAAATAAATAAAAATAAAAATAAATGAATAAGTAAATGTTTGTTTGGATGATTGTCCACTGTGGATAATTGTCCAAAAAAAAAAAAAAAAAAATAAACTGGTCAACCCACAAATGGTTACACGATCATGTGACACTGAAGACTTGAAAAATGGCTGTGGAAAACAAACCAAAAAAAGTTTTACTGCATTTCTGATCAAATAAATGGAGCTTTGGTGACCATAAGAGACTTGTGTGTGTGTGTGTGCATGCACGACTTTGAAAACTACACTGTTCTTTTTGTAGATAACCAGTTGCCAACATACCTTTCAGAGAGCTTTTTAGCGAACCCGAAATCTGTCAATCGAATATGCCCCTCACTGTCCAGCAGTATATTCTCTGGTTTAAGGTCTCTGTAGACAATTTCTTTGGAGTGAAGGTATTCAATGGCGCAGACGATTTCAGCTGAATAAAACATTCCTGTGCTGTTGCTGAAACGTCCTCGGCTGCGTAAATAGCTGAAGAGTTCACCTCCATTCACATATTCCATCAACATGTACAGAAAACGATCATCATGGTGCGTCCAGAACCTGAAAAAGTTCCACATTATATTTGTTACATGTGATTTGGTCATAGAATACATATACATATGTATACTTGCTATATGCTTGTGACAAATAGGCTACACATTAAAAGACTTACGTTACAAAAGCACAAAAAACTACCAATAATTACAGTAGGAACACTATAGCAAGCTGAGGTCATGTCATAATGTCAATAATCATGATATAGTACAGTGGTTCTCAACCCTTTTGACTCCAAGGCCCCACGTCATAAATATATTCAAAGGCCCCATGACTTTCCTAGATTTTAGATAATTACTGGATAAGGTTTTTTTTAAATAGTTTTTACCTGGTAACATATTTTTAAGCTTGGCATAATTACAAAAATGTATATTCATTATAAAAATGCCCATGGAGTTATAAGTTTGTATTAGTCTTTTAGACTTCTCCAGGGCCAAAAAATCATACTTTTAAAAGTTGACTACCTCATATATCCAGGTTTTTCAAGATGTGATCTCTCTTCAAAATAAATAAATAAAGTAAAACAAAGTAAAATGAAATAAAATAAAAATATCTTTATTTCTTGACACCCCCTAGTTGAGAACCATTGGTATAGTATAGATTAGTATCTATAGTTAAAAAATATTTAATAATAAATTCAAAGATAAATACAAAATCAAAGTTTCAAACTGACCGGAGTGATTGTAGAAGGTCAAACAACATTTAACAATGATATTTTTGGTTAAAGAGCTGAAATGTTTATACAGACCATAACCTATTGTATTTTTACGAGATAACTATAAACAGTGTTCTCATTTCTGTTGTAGCCTATATGTTAAGGTTGCGTAGTGTTCACTTACAGTCTGACAAGGAAAGGATGGTTCACCTCTGTCAGAACCTCTTTCTCATTATGCACGTGCTGCTCCTGTTTCAGACTAATTACATCTGGGATTTTCATCGCCTTCAGAGCAAAAAAACCTCTTGTCTTTTTATCCTTCACCAGAAAAACCCTTCCAAAGGTTCCTGTACCTGAAACAATGTGGAATATTGACATAAGGAGAACGGCTACAATGTAGAAATCAATGTTAAAATATTTTCTTCATCCACAGTGAACCCAAAATATATAGACACCTAAGCCATACTTAAAAATGGGAGTGAATTTATTCATCTTTGCTCAGTTTTTCTTCCCAGTATCCAAAGGAAACCATCAAATCTATAAATTATTTTGTGATGACCACTTTAACCCACTTCTTAACTATTATTATATAGAAGCATGTTTGTGTTTGGTCTCTCCACAGAGATTTGTTGTCCACAGATGAATGGCACTCAGATCTGGGAGAGTAAAACTCTCAAAGACGACCCGTCTCAAAAAAGTCTTTGATTTCTACTAGAGGTCGACCGACGTATCGGTTTTGCCGATTAATCGGCACCGATAGTTGATTGCTGGAACTATCGGTTATCGACAAAAATCCATGCCGATAGTTTTCTGGGTTGCGTCCATTGCTGGAGCGGCTGAGAAGGGTCTGCTGTCATTACACAGTGCGAGAGCCATATGTATATAATTTTAATGCTATAACCTTTGTGTATATATTTAAAGATGTGCATCTTTAAGCATGACAGTTGAAATGAAATGGTAACACTTTAAAATAAGAGTCCATTTGTAGCATCAAGATTAATGAAAGCTGTGTAAGTATTGTTCCTTGTTAGAGTGTGTTAATTTAAACATTTACTATTATTATTATTTTTTACTACTACTGCTAGTATGGTTCAGTACCGTTTTTGTTAATAAAGCACTATTTTAGTTTTTGTTCAGTATCGATAGTTTTAAAATTGGTTAATTAATCGGTATCGGCCAGTGTGGTCCAACCTAGCTATCGTTATCGGCAAAATCCACTATCGGACAACCTCTAATTTCTACTGTACGGGAACACGGGTTTCAGTGGGTAATAGATCTTACGTTACACACATATGATCAATGGCGACAGAGAGAGCTCTCAAGCTGAGAGAGCAGGGCACCTTGAACCACCCACCAAATTACAGGCTACTCAGTCTTACCGGATTGCTGTTACAAGCCTGAGAGGTCAATACCTACAGGAGACAACTTGACAGGCTATTTGGACAATACATCCTATTATATGCTCTTAGACCTAAGCCTCACACTTAATGCTTAACTAATCCTTGATTATAAACCAAACAACTTTACAGCAGCATGGGGGAAAAAAAAGAACAGACATGCCCAGAAATGTGTACGTGAGGAGTTGGTGTACACTGCGTGTAGCACTCGGGTCAAGAGACGAAAAACCACAGTCGTGGAGTAGTGGCAGTTGTTTGGGTTTAAGGGTCATGAAGTAGATCAAGGAGCTGAGATACCGCAGAGAGGCTTGTGTTTTATTTGTTGAACCTAGCTTTGGCTTGAGAAAGACTTTTTACCTAGACACCTGAGACAGAACAAACAACATGATGACATTTTGATGGATGTTATCGTAAAAAAGAAAGAAAAATAAATCATGGTTTTTGATTTACACTAGCGTTCAAAGGTTTGGGGTCATTAAGATATTTTACCTTTATTTTTTAATACTTTCAATTAATCTAACTTAATACTTTTATTCAGCAAGATTTATTAAATTGATCAATTGAATTTTTATTTATTTTTTATGATAGTTTTACATTTTTAAAAGCTAGGCATATATTCATGACATAAAAAAAATAATGTAATACAATTAAAAGAATAGTTCACCAGAAAATGAAAATTCTGTCATCATATACTCACCCTCATGTCGTTCCAAACCTGTATGAGTTTCTTTCTTATGTTGAACACAAAAGAAGAAATTTTAAAGAACCAAAGGGATGTTGGTCCCCATTGACTTCCTTAGCAGGAAAAGAAATACTATGGAAGTCAATGGGGACCTTCAACTGTTTGATTTCCAGCATTCTTCAAAATATCTTCTTTTATGTTCAACATGAGAAAGGTTTGGAACGACATGAGGGTGAGTAAATGATGACAACGTTTTAATTTTTGGGTGAACTATCCCTTTAAATGTCTAATAAAAAAATGTCTTTCAGTTTGATCTTTGATAAAAATTCAAAACCATTTCTAAAAATATTTATTAATGAAAATTCTGAATAAAACCATTACCTAAAAAGACAATCCAGTACTGAGACTCATGGCTCTTTTTCCATGTACAGTAATAATGAAAGTGTAAATGTCATAAGACAGAGTTAGATTTCAAGAAACAAGTCAAGAAACAGAATTAGAAGCAAAATGATTAATGACACCGAACTAAGCTCTGCTCTTTTTGTAACAGGGTAGTTTTAGACGACCTACATTTCCTTGTAGCTGCATTGTGATGAGTTACGAGCTACGATACTGATGGAATAACTGACATGGAATGTTGGCATTTAATACATTTACCTTACACAAGGAATCTTTGTTCAGAGACCACTGAGTTGACATGGTTACACAAGCATGGAAGAAAACAAACGCCTTAGCTCCCAGAGGGGAGGGAACGGGACTGCTACACGTGAAGCAAGACACTTGATGACAAATTATTAGATCATGTTTCCTGCCTGTTACAGGGAAATCTTATTCAGCTGGCAACACATTCAAAACATCAAAGGAGTTGTTATTGTGAACTTATAAGTGAAGAAATCAAAGTCACTATAGAATACAACAGTATGACGTTTACATGCACCAAAATAAGCAGTTAGTGATTGGACTGATGACTCGATCGGATTGAAAAGCTTCATGTAAACGTCAATTGACCCGAATGAGCTCGATCTGAACGATCTGATATTTTGATCGGATTGAAAGGAGTGGTGCAAACCTGAAATAATCCAATCAATAGGAAAAAAACTAAGCATGTAAACACTTGAACATAACAATGACTGAATATGATCTTCTCAAAAATACTTTTAACACATGCGCAGTGCTGTGAGGTAAATGTTCACCGGAGACCTTTTATAATAAGATCCCTATTTATGGTTTACTTCTTACAAAAGTTCATATGTTTATTTAGGTCTTACATACCAGTCAGTTGAGGAGGCTGAATATCAAATCAACGATATGTTTCATATCGTTCGGGATTGGTAATTATTGACATTTTTATAACCTTTTTTAAAACAAAAAGCAATAGAATTTTTTTATTTTTATTTAACCACTGTATTTATAATTAACACAATTTATTGAGACAAACAACAAATATTTTTTGTTTTAACAATCAAACACAATAAAAATTAAACAAATATCTCATTTCTAATGTTTTATATGCAGATTAAATAGGTCTTTATTGTATAGGTCTAATTGTCTCCTAAGGCCACAGGAGGGCGCAATGAGCAAAATAATGCAGCGCATTTAAATTGTCAACACAAGGAAGTAACTCTATAAAAACGTGCATTACGTCTAAATTAACTCATAAAAATCCAATATAATTTCGTAGACTGCATAAACAATTATGAACAAAACAGCATCATGTATTTATGCATTGCTCAATCCAAGTCGAGTCGAAGCACCATTCACACAGACTGCGTTTAAAAATATATGAGATGCAGTGAAAAGGAATAAACCTCCACAAATTTGTGATGTGTTTTCTAAAAGTTTAAACTGTTTTAACTTTGCATGGCTTTCTATACATCTCGTGTGTGAGACGCGAGTGCAGCAGTCATATTTGTCAGTCTAAAAAATTTGCTGAATATAGTTCTGTGTGAATGGCTTGGTTTCGGTTTTAACCTAATCAAGATCTTCTCCGCATTGAGCTTCTATATTTCTCTAATATTTTGAATGAATAACGCAGCAGTGGCGCGTCTCGTGGGCTAGACTAACAAAACATTAAACTACAACGTCACTTATTTCATCACCGCATCTCGCGCGCCACTGATGACGCTCCCTGATGCACACCTAACATTCAAATGCAAATGTTTATTTTAAATTCGACTAATATTCATTCTTTATTCACAATGTCCTCATCACAGGCAGGCACAGCACTCATTTCAGCATGTGTTCATGTTTGTGTGTGCCGTCTGTGTCACTCATAGCACGTGCCTATATCGTGCGCTATATCGAACATTTTTTCTATCGATATTGAAGAAGGCGTACCGTCGATAAATATCGATACCGTTTTATCGCCCAGGCCTACTTTCCACCAATATTTTAATACCCAACTGTTTAAAAATGGCACACACTCTAAAAACTGCTGGGTTAAATATGGACAAACCCAGCAATTGGGTTGTTTTCAGCCAACGGTTGAGTTAAATGTTTAACCCAACCTTCTGGCTAGTAACCCAACCGCTGGGTCAAAACAACCCAATCGCTGGGTTTGTCCATATTTTACCCAGCGCTGGGTTGTATTTAACCCAGCATTTTCTAGAGTGCAGTTCATTTCATAAATTAAATTATATTAAAATAAATACAGACCATGGAACAATATTTATTACTATTTCTTAAGAATCAAACATTTCCAATGAACATTTCAAACAGCCATGGGAAATATTTTTACTTTCAAGAGCAATAACCAAATCAATGCATCTTAAAAAAAATAAACAAATCAACAAAAGATGTAAAAACTCCAAAGCAACAGTGAATTTATAAGCAAGGACAGTTTTACTTAATAAATCTAAAGTCTGCTTGTGGTGGAGAGATGTTTGTTCCATCTTATTAAGTTAAAGAGATGGATTTATTGATGTATTTTATTGTGTACAGAACTACATCTTGAAATTATAACTAAGGCCAGATTAAAATGCAAAGTCAGGTAAAAAAAAAAATAAATTAATATGGATAGACACTTAAAAAAAATCTCTCAGAAATATACTTTTGTGCCATGATCAAATAATTTGTGACTGTGAGTGAGCTACAATTTACCTAGTCTCACATAGCCAGACCTTCAGACTGACAGCAGGAACCATTGCTGCTTTGAATGGCCAAGAATGAATGGCCATATGACTGACAGGTAAAGCAATCAATCACTTTTTTTTTTCAACCAATCAGATGATGACTTTGAAACTCCCGAAGTGTTTCCAACAGTCAAGTGTTTCAA